AACTGTCTCCGCAATATGAAGCGAAATAGATTGTAATTTGTAAACAGTAATAAGTCTACTGCGGTCGAATGACTTGTTTACAAATTACAACTTATTTCACTTCACATTGTGGACACAGTCAGTTTGCATTATGAGTAATTATTCTGTGAGAGAATATTGCGACATGTATTGGGTGTTAGCCCAATGTAATGGCAACCAAACACAAACAGCGCAAGAATATGCAATTAGGTACCTTAATCGGCGACATCCTGATAAAAATGTTATGTACTCTACAATATTTACTGTCTCAGAATAATCATTATCATAGAAAATGTATGTAATTGTTGCAGATTAGCATATCCAGATCCAAGCTCGGTCATGCGTAGATCAAAGTCGGTCCTTTTCAGGACCACTCAAAACGTAATACGTTGCTACAACTATCTTGTGACATTAAAGGAATAGACATTATAAGGAATAAAGGGTACCTTCTGAAATTTACTGACATTACAGCGAGCGATTGTATCTCACTCAATTACATGCAGATAAACAGGGACACTACGACGATACTCTTAGTGTTATTGGCGTAGTGTAAGCAGGTCTTGCGGGTTGACTCGCGACGTCATCTACGCTCCGTTTAAACGCACTCTGATTGGTCGCATTACTGCAACTTCAACCTTGATTATCTCGAAATTTTGATATATGAAATAAAAAATGAAAATATAAGTATTCATTAGAATTTGACAAGGAATGCAACGATGTTACTACAGTTTGTTTCATAACGAACACCCTGTATATCAAAGTACCTAATTCGAACAAGTGGTGTAGATCCATTATAATTTCATACAAGAATGGAATTCACGGATCAGGCTTATTGCAGAAATGCGCAGAATATCTAAACATTACGAACGAATTGTTTTGAGAATTAGTAAAGATTTAAATTTAATTTTAATCAAAATTAAAACACCCTGTCATTGGATTGATTATATTATACAAGGATTTACGTATGGATTCAAACTGATAGACTGCTAAGAACATTAATTTACAAGAATAAAATACTTGTTGGTCCTATGTAATGTTTTCTTCCATTGCCATAATAATATTTAAACTTATATTAATGCGGCATGTGTTTCGGAAATTTCGTAAAAATCCTCCTGTTCAGTTCTTATAATGCAAAAGCTTTGTATCATGTAAGAAAGAAACTATTCAATGAGACGGACACCCTCACGCTCTTTATTTTTCCAGTTTTACATCAGTTAATGATCCTTCAAACTCATTGGGCTGACCTCGTTCATGAACAGCAAGTAATATATCTTATGCATTAAGTCATCTGACTCTCAGATGTTTTTCATGACGTCTATCTTTTCATCCGTTTTTCCCTTATAGTCAAATATTTTTTAAACTTGTTAACGATATAAGTTAATATGACATAGCAGGCAATTTTATACTGAGATTCAGTAATATGGTTTGCGTAATCACTAATCAGTAATGTTCTTTTCGTGAAATAATTTATGTAATTAACTTTTTTTACATGGGAAACAAGAACACTGGTGATTACCTCTTTCGTTTGTTTCTATGCTTCAGGACGAAATGGAAAGATTTTGGTTTCTCGTTTGGATGTTGCTTGCCAGTCTACTGAACAGTGCATTACCCCTGTACAGAGATAAAAACAACAGTGAGTATAAATTTGAAATTAATTGTTCAATTTTACCTTGAAAAAGCGTCTGTCGATGAATATATGTGACAAACATTCTGGCAGCATTTTCGCGTGAAAGCTAGCAGAAAGATTATTGGACTTACCGTGAACGACACAGAAAAAGAAGATATGACTACAGTACATTTATTGAGACGGAGGCCAAGGCGGCTAATTAACGTAGAATGACGCTCGAGGCAAGTTCTTCGAGACTCGGGGCCAGCGCTAGCTCCGTCGTCCTCACTCAGTCCTCTTGAGCCAATCGCCAGCGCAGAAGGATTCGTCTAGATTCTCGAACTAAATTCCGAAGCATGTAGCTTGACTCAAATTTCTTCGGAATTGTGTTATGGGAACGTTACACCACCCTACCGCACGAGAAGGACGCGAAACGAAATGATGTATGTGAACGGAATTTTTCTGTAATCAGAACAATACGATAGATGGAAGGTGGGCCCACCTTGTGAGTCCTTAAAACTAGCCTACGAGACGGATCCTGTTCGCGGGAATCAGTGTTCTTTGCATTGTCATAACTCGTTGCCGTAGTTGGGGTTACCGGAATCTGTTGTCCGTGGGTGATCCTCGTCCGGACGCCTGTGGGAACGACTAGGTAGCGAAGGGTCATGACTCCTCACGCCAGAGTAGCTTTCAGAGCTACTTATTCTCCTCAGTTCTGTCGATGTTCCCTACGCGGGACGTCAGACGTCCGCGAACGTCGATGGTCCATGATGATGTCTTCTACTACTGAGCCGACCTACTATTCAGTTCGGAAGTCGTCGGCTGTAGAGTGGAGGCGTCTGATTTTGTGGTGGACCTTGTAACGTGGCGTTACAGAGCTGGAGGTGGGTCCACCTAGGAATGACCGAAAAATAAATAAGTAGGACTTATCAGGTCGGACAGTGGGTTCGGTGGCACAGTGGTAAGTGCTCGACTTGGCAGTCCGAAGGTATCGGGTTCAAATCCCAATCAGAACTCCTAATTTTTCGGAAATTCCTAGGCCTCTAGCGCTCCCTGGCGGCTCTGTGGATAAATTAATTATAGCAGGGACGAGCCGCGCACCCCGTTATAACCTCCACCTCCTCTCGCGGGACTGGTTGTGGCTTCCTTCTGTCGAAACTAAGGCTGGTGTTCTGCTGGTGTTCTGCTGCTCCTCAATGTTCCTTCAGCGCGAAGTTAGTGGTAGCCGAATACATGCCGGATGAAACAGTCATATAGAACGAAAAGTAGATAGTCTAAAGTTATTAAAATGCAATCTTGGAGTCTGGAGTTCTTGGACGGTACTTTTTGAAACTTTCCCGAAGGGCGATACTGCGTTCCGTGGTTGAAACCCGCTAGTTGTTATTGTCGGGACTTTGTGACGGAATATTTTACACGTTGTAGCGATTGATTCAATCTATTTCTTTAGCCGTGTGTAAAAGCTTTTTTTTTAACCACTGTGTTTTTACCATCCTTCACCACTAACTTCAATCGTTTTTATCCTATAATGCCATGACAGCATATACGATAAACACAAAATAAAATTTAGTAACCACGAGAGTTCTTTTGAAAATTTTAAATAAAAAGTCATGAGACTTTTAACATCTAAATGTGGGCTAGATTTTCAACACTTTTTCATATATTTATAGCTTAGTCTTTAAATTTATCGTTTTAAAATAGTTATTATACTTATCGTACACAGAACGCCAATATGTAAGAAGTGCTTAAAACATACCAAAACCACACCGATTTGAATAAAAGCCATCGAGATTGGTGCTAAACAAGGGCGCTATGAATTACGACGGTCCTCTGATCAAATTACATGCAGCATTCCAAAATACACATGTTACTCTATTCATAAATAGTTACTACAAGTACAATATAAATTGTTTAAAAAACATTCTATACCAGTACCTTAGTTTTAAAGTTGTAAGGAATATGTTATGTAGCATCTTACATATTCACGCAAAGAATCCCCAGGAAGAAGGACAAGTGAGTCCTTGAATTGTAGCGCAATAAGAATGACGTTTAGTGCTCACACAGATAGTAAGACTATACACCTATAGATTGTATAAAGCACTGTAACAGAAGCTGAGAAATTACACATATTACAAAAGATTTTTTTTATCGAGTTGCCCCTGGGTGTTCGGTAAGGCGTAACGTAATATTACATAATATAAAATGCGTCTAGTACTGTCGATTTGCTTACCTTAGCTATATCGTAATATCGCTACGTGGAACTATTAGCTTCGATGGTGCCGATAATCAATGAGGGGTATTACTCTATTAAACAGACAAGAAATGTCACAATGTTGCGTATTTCCTAACTACTCTTTGCACAAGTAACGAGACAGCTGTCGACATAAATGCACGCACAGTGTCGCAGAAACAAACCGGCAAATGCCCCAGTACATATTGCGCACAAGCTTACTCAGCGCCATAACCTTTGCAGCGGTAGTGGCTCGGAACAATACACAAAGGCTGTCGATGATTACCGACCGAAAAGTATACTGTCACTTACCATATACGCTCTAATAATACATTATCCAAAATTAACAACACTACAATTTAGTAGCACTTACTGTATGCGATCTTCTTTTGTCTTACCTCGTCGACTCACTGGGGGGATGCTAAAACGTATAGCACGCGGAAAATCATGCAGCACCCTGCACTTTACAACGAAAATATTTTGATAAGATACAAAGGCTCTCGACACAAGTGCACGAAAAACAAAGTGTCAATTAGTATCAAACTGTAATACGCTGTCCGCTAACACCAACATCAAAAACGGTTCCGATACATGCGAGTAAAACTATCAACGTTGAGTGCTACGTGCCTACCGGTGCTATAACAGCTATAATCATCAGGAACGTGACCATCGTACAAAACAAAAATATATTAATTGACTTTGATTCACAGCTACTCTTTTTTTTTCTTAGTACAGCTAAAATAGTATCGCAGAAAAATACATATACTAAACGTATTTATTAGTCATTTAAAAGTTCACCTTTTCACCTGTCCCTCGTCGTCAAAGTTTGTATTTTTTCTATTTACATGAGTGTATATACTGTGACGTGGCATTTTGATGCACGTCATAAAGTAGACGAATTCGGCTACGTCGTGGGGCCTAATGAATTATGAAGCGTTTTGCATGGCGTTGACCGATTTTATTTTAAGAATTTGTATTTATTTCCCTGTGGGAAATGTTTTTTTTGATTCCGAGTTCGTTAGGCGGAACCCAGAGGATTCGACAAAATTTCTATCGAGACGGATTTTGTACCGAGAGAGTCAACAACGGGCATGCCGGAGCGCTGTGGAGGAGAGGTGACGCGTGCCGTTAAGACCGGAGCACACAATTTGGCGGCTCGACTACGCGAAGCAAGCGGCGAACGTCTTCACGATCATAGGGCATATAGGGGTTGCAGAAACGGCGCAGAGCCGAATATCAAGGGGGTAGAGGTGGATGCGATTCTCGCCTCCCGGAAACAGTACTGCAGCTATCCTAACGTAACAAGATGCCAGAATCTATTTCATCGGGACATCAAAACAATTGAAGATCGCGAGCTCGCTATCAGAGCCGATGTAATAGCGAACCTGATTGGACCAGGGAGTGGTATTACAGCGCGCTCTCGGGAAGGTTTCTAATTTTTGAAATTTGTAGCGTCACTCATAGCGTCGCCTAGCTCAGGGATAGACGTCTTATCGTTTCGTACTGATTATAGATTATTTATCATATCGTTATCCGTTTGAAGGATCTATAACCCAGGAGAGTGTGTTCCTGTGGATAGTAGGAGCTACAGGACAATGGTAAGTGATGCTCACAGTTATTTTGGCTACCTTTCAATTCACGGGATCAACCGATCTTTTCTGTTCGACGTACTCTTACGCATCTCCTATGCTTTCCTGATCGTTCAGTCCACGCCTCGGAGACTCGTCCCCCTAGCGGACGACTTTTCGTTAGTTTTCGTACACTCAAAGTAAATTTTGTGACTTTGTATCTATCATGTAAGTAGACACATTTGGTCTATTTTAATACTTTTCTTTTTATCTTAGTTCATAGTATGAACTTCATTTCAATTACGTTTAATGTAATAGTTGCATAAATTTGGACATTTTATTTAGTAATTATAGAGATTAGTTTTATTGCCGATGGGATCATGTTGTCATAGGTTTTTCGGAGTTATTTGTCACATATGACAAACAGCCCCTTATACGCACTTATCGTATAGTTTTCGTTTTTTTTTTACAGTACTGACAATAATGTCACGAGTATACAAAAGGAAATCAGCAATATTAATAGACACCCCATATAAAAATTATATAGAAGAAGAGAAAAAAGAACTAGAAGCAAAGAAATAGAAAGTAAAGAAAACTATATTCCCATATCAAAAGAAGAAAGGAATAAAAAAAAAGATATCGAATGACGATGAGAAAAAAAATGAAGATTTTTGTCTTGTCTGCTTATCTCCATATTCTACCAGCAGGCCGAGAATAATGTAGATTCAGTGCCAAAACTGTCAAATGTAGGCTCTGAAGGAGTGCACTTCTGGGTTACCAACTTACATTTATCAAAACTGTGATTCGGATTTTTCTAATTAACACTGATTTCCAATGATTTTTATTAATTGATTAATAGTCGTTAGTTGACTTTAATGATGTTAGGAAATAATTTAAAAGAAATATTTTTATGTTTGGTTAACTTATTTAAAAGAAATTTTAATTTTTGTTTCAATAAAAGTTACATACTGCTATTCTAATTGTTTCAACTTTTTTTTTTACTAAAAGACACTAACATTTCTTGTAACATTTCACTCCAAGCACTGTAACAATTAACCCAGACATGGGTTACGAAGTCTCAAAAACTGTTGATTAGTTAATGTATATCTTATTATTTGTTATCCTTGTCCCGACTATATGGCTATCAAGATTATTACTAATAATAGGCTTTAGATTTAAGCATATTTGATGTGGTTCAACTGCGAAAAATTACTGAACAATCGATGAACAAA